GTTAACATGATATTTAAATAAGATATTTATTTGGGATTATAATAAGTAATTTAAATATTATTATAAATTAAAAATCATTAATTTGTATTTATTTATAAACATTATTGACTATGTGAAGTCATTGAAATATATTACTTTAAATAATCAATTGACAATCATTTTATATTTGTATTGTTTTAAATATACAAAATGTGGAATTTTTTTTCAAATTAAAAAAGTGCATCTTCTACTTTATTGTGAAAAAATTCCAAATATTTATATTTTATTAAAAAGTGTTGAGTTAGATTCAAATAACAAAATAAATATTCAAATTACATATTATATTTTTGTTTAACCTCTTATATATTGAAAATAATTGTATATAATTAAATGTTCATTCTATATTTATTTAATTGTTGGACTTTTACAGTTGAATTTTTTATTTTTTGGCTTTTGATTATATTATTTTAAACTGTTTAAACAACAAAGATGTCAATATACAAACACAATTTTAAACGTATTAATTTAAAAACAGATGTATTACAATAAATATAATTCTCGATTTGTTTTTCTGTTAAATAGAAGAAGTTTATTATAAACAAATTCTTGATCATTGAATATAATTTGTGAAATTTTATAACAATTTGTTTTAATTATAATAATCACAAAACGGATATAATTTAAATGTTTAATAACACCAATATCAACATTGTTATTGAAAACTTTTGTTGATACGGGTTGGATAAAAAAACTTCTGTATTAATACAACTTTATACTGTTCTAATAGTTATTAATATTAAAACAAAGGAAGTTTAATACTTATTACCCCTTCGAACAAAAAAGTATCAAATGGGTATATTCAGCATTCATGGTTAAAATACCGTACATTTAATTATATTAATATATTTGAAATCAAGAAAATCAAGTCGAAGTAAATGAAAAATGATTATGTTTTTTGTCCATCTGTAAATATATACAAATGATGATTGTTTTATGATGATTTTTATCAAGTAAAGTTGGATTTTAAAGTTATCTACAATAAAAATAAAATAATGTATTTCAACTACATTGAAAATTATTATTAAGAATTGTAAAAAAACTTTATTTAAAAAAACTTTTTATAATGGTATTACAGCATTTGATTAAAATGTTACTTTGTAAATACTAAATTCTCATTAAAATAAACAACAATAATACAACATGTTATTTTGTAATGTAAATACATGTAATAACACTGATTAGAAATTAAATCAAAAAATAATTATTATTGCAATGAACAATTTTAACACAGAATTAAAACTTACATACTTATATCCAATATGATATAAAAATTGATTTCTTGTTGAATAGTGATACAAATGGATAAAACACTTACAAAGATATTATTATACAAATCTATCAATTTTAATATTAAAACAAAGTTGTTATTTTTTTAGTTTGCTTATTAATAAATTTTTAATATAATACTGGTGATTCCGGAATCGGTTCGGGAACCGCCATGTTCCGGAATCAAAAGTTTGGGAATATTTTTTTTTATGAAGTTCGGGAACTTGTTGGTTCGGGAACACACCAATTTTAAGTTTGGGATTCAGGATGTTCCCGAACCGAGGTTAAAAATATTCCCGAATATTTTTTGATTCCGGAATCGGTTCGGGAATTTGATAAAAAAAATAAAATTCCCCAAATATTTTTTTATTGATTCCTGAAACTTCTGATTCGGGAATCAAAAATATTTCCCAAATGTTTCAAGAAAAGCCGATTCCGGAATCGGTTTCGACTACACTAATATTAATTTAAAAGATTAAAAAATCAATTTTTTATTTTTTTATGTTTTACAAACA